TGAGAGATGATGCAGGCTGGGTGGGACCAGGGTAGCAAGGATGGAAGGTGGTAAGAAATGGTCAGATTCTGGATCCACCCTGAAGGTAGAACTGATGGAATTTGGTAACAAAATGTATGTATGGTGTGAGAAAAGGGATTCAAGGGTGAGACTGAAGTATTGACCAGGTAATGAAAAAGATGGTGTGAACATCCACTGAGAAACCCAAGACCACAAGAGAAATATGTTTGGAACATGGGAAGAGTAGAGAACAGGAGTTGGTTTTGAACATGGAGATGTTGAGTAGGCAGCTGGATGTTAAGTGGAGAGTTTGAGAGTCAGACCTGGCTGGAGACATAAATTTGGGAGTCGTCAGCATGTAGATGGTATTTAAAGCCACGAGACCAGATGAGATCACCAAGGGAGTGAATATAGACAGAGGAGAGAAGAAGGCCAAGGACCGAAGCCTGAGGTGCTCCACCATGTAGAGATTGGGGAGACAGGAAGAAACATCTCCAGACACGGATGAGAATCAACCAGTGAGTGATGAGGAAAACCAGGAGAGTATAGTGTCCCAGAAGCCAAGGAAAGAAACAGGGAGTAGTCCACTTGTTAAATGCTCTTGATAACTCAAGTAAGATAAACCCTGAAGAGATGGCCCTTGGATTCAGCACCATGGAGGTCACTGTTGTCCTAAAAAGGGGCATGGTTGGTGCAGCAGCGGGAGAGAAAGCCTTCATAGTGTGGGCTCCAGGGAGGACGGGAGGACAGGAATCGCAGGCAGTGAGCTTAGCCAGCTTTTTAGGGAAGGATTGCAATTGTATGGAGCAGAAAACGGGCCAGGAGCTGAAGGAGAACATGAGAGTGGGGAGAAAGTTTTTGTTGGTTGGTTTTCAAATTTTAATGAGAGATGGGAGAAACTGTAGTATATTTGCATGCTAGTGGGGCTGCTCCTTGGAGAAGAAGAAAAATATGTTGCAGGAAAGAGAACAGAGAACTGCTGGCTGGAGCAATGCCCTCCAGAAGGCAAGAGGGCAACAGGATACCAGCACCAGTGGAGGCGTCTATCTTAGTTGCAGGTGCAGACTGTTCACCTAGAGAAATGGGAGAGGAGACAGAGGATGTGGGCACGCAGGTAGGTGGCAAGACTGACCTTTCTCATTTTTGCTATTCTGATGGATGAAAGTGATGTGTTGTTGATGCATGGGATGCATGATGACTGGAGCCACATCCTGAATAACACGGATCCAGCTCTAAAGAAGAATCCATGTTTCTCAACTCTCTGTGCCTCGTTCTCACCAAGATTCTGCTTCTCACTGGGCATCTCTCTCTTTCTACCTCTGTGTCTCTGTCCTTCTCTGCATTTTCTCTCTGTCCTCTCCCACCTGCCCCATCTTTCTGTCTCTGTGTATTTAGCCCTTTGTGTCTCTCGGTCTTCCCCTCCCTTCATGTTTGCGTTGGGGCCCCTCCTCTTGGCCTGGGTGTGGGGCCTACTTTCTCATCCCAGCTAGCACTTCCAACCAGAAGTTCCAGTTCCTGCTTGACAAAGAATCCCATTTTGAAGCCAAGTTAGGGAGGGGCCTCCCGGAACCGTCGGATGCCTCCATCTTAAGCTTTACTTATTTAACAAGAGCATTGTGGCCCTTGGTCCAAGCCACACTCTCTTCGAAGCATTTTCATGTATTAATCCATTTAACCCTTCTCCATAAGGCAGGTGCTATTGATTGTGCCATTTTACAAATGGGGATGCTGAGGCACAGAGCGGTCACATCACCTGAACTCAGGAAGCCTAGCTCCAGAGTCTGAGGTCAGAACCACTAGGAACACCATATCTTTTTCAGATCCTTTCTTCTTTCTCCAGCCCAACTCTTTGTGGTGGAGGAAAGACCTGCACCTGTGAAGTGCACTTGGATTCAGTCCAGTTTGTGTGTGACTTTCAGCCGTGGGTTTATTCATCAAGTGAGGGGGTGGAAGGTGCCCAGCCCTTGGTGGGCCCATGACCTCACTTCAACCAGAGCTACCCATCCCATGTTCGGCCAATCACAACCCCTAACATCAATTTGACCTGGCACTCACCCCTCAGCAAATGACAAGGCCAACCACCCTCACTCCAGGCTCCAGCCCTTCTCAGGTGGGAAAGGCTTCCCTGGAAGCATGGACCCAGGTCACAAGAGGGCACAGATACCCCGATTTCCCACACAAGCTGGTTGCCTCATTTAACCTGGCATCCTCCCTCCAGCCACACCACCTGAACACAACTCCACTCAAAAAGTGAACTCAGACTCCACCCTGTGAGGTGGGAGAAGTCCAGGGTGGAGAAAGACGATGACTTTTCTTCCACCTTGAGAGGTGGGGTATGACTCAGCTCACCCCCCAAAACCTACTGCATCATTGACACTCAACCTCATGGCTAGTCCTCATCACCAATGTCAACCCACAACCCCAGCTCAGCCACACGCAACATTTCCCCATCCAAGACCTCAATCTTGGTTCCATCTTCAGCCCCAACCCAACAGTACCCCATCACCAAATTATCCCTAGATACCTCCCATCTTACAATCTAATCCTATCCCAAAACCAACACAACTACCACATCCAACTCTATACCCATCCTCATCCAATTTTCATTCACCTCCTCAAACTCATGGCATTCCCAATGCTGTCATCAGGCCCATCCTTAACCTAACCACAAACTCTACTCATTTCCTATATTAAGCCATATTTTTCTTCTCAGCAAAAGACTTTGAAATGGACCCAACATTGGACATTGAGATGTCCCCAGTGCAAAGTTAAATGGGTTATCTGATTTTATGAGGTCTCTGTACCCTTTACTGTCTTTGAACTACTTTATGGCTCTAAATTGTAGATATCTGAGATCAGTGCAAATAATTCTTGTCCATAACTGTTTAAATGAATTTTGCCAGGTGGAAGTACAATGGATTTCCCTCCTCCTCCCAGGGTGGAATAGCCAGTTTTGCATCTATTTGTAAATGCATTTCAGCATTCCTTGTTGTCTGTGTGCATATGGCTCTCTTACTGGCTCTGCCATTTATTAATGAGTCAAGATACAATCTCTGACATACGTTCATTTCATATATGTCAGAGAGTCATGGTAAGACCATGTTTTAAAAGTTACCCTTTGACACTAGATTTGATCTCCACATCCAAACCTGAACTCCATCAATAAGGACTGTATGAGTTTCCATGTGAGTCCTTGCCCCAGCCATCTCTATTCCTTATCCTCATTGTGACAACTCCACTCTCTCACTCTTTGCAGACTTCATCTGGTCCACATCCCTGGCTTTCTTCCAAACTCTGACCCCACCTCAGTCCTTCTTAATCCCTAATCCTGTGCCCTCCACCCCCTAGGATTAACTCAGGGCTCCACCCAGTCATAGTTCCTGGAGACACCTACTCATTCCCAAAACACCACCCCTTCCTCCTTCCTCTCCCCCACCCCCAATCTACATCTTCAGAGTTTTCAGACTCCTGCTTTTTCCTCTCCACCTACGTCCCATGACTCCCTAACCCCCTCCAGCCCTACTCCTAAAAGGCCATTTCTGGAAAATGTTGCTTTCTCAGGTCCTATCTCTGCCCCCATCCAAATCCAAGGGCAGTTGACTTTCTATCCACCCAGCTGATGATTTTCTTCTTGTGTCCGATGGTTGGCGGGAGCAGGGAGGCAGGATGATGGGATAACTGTGGGTGTCCTTGTGTCTTTCAAAAGAAAAAGGGTTGAGATGAAACTGGGAATTGGAACCTAGATGTGTTGAGAGCTAAACCTGAGATGAGGATGGGACTGGGGTTGAGGAACAGGCTGGAGTACTGGGTATGGTTAGGGATGGATAGGGAAGTGGGAATCCGGTAGAACATGGCCATCTGGGGGCTGACTGCATATTAGGAATTATGAATGGGGTTGGAGAAGAGGTTAGAAAACTGGGTGCAGAATGGGTTGAAGTTAGGGATGGGCATGGAACTCGGTGGGGCAGGGGGAAGGAAATGGGATTTCCCCTTACCCTTGTTGGGTCCTGATGCCTGAAAGTTCACAGTGGGTTCAACTCCGGCTTGGGCGGGGTCAGATCTAGGTCCCAGCACGTCCTGGAAGCTCCGCCCCAAGCAGAGGGCCAAGCCCAGGCTGGGGGGTGCCTGGAGACAGCCCGCTGAGCCACTGGGGGTGGAGAGGGGGAGCCAGGGACCAGGAAATGCTGAGTGAGCTGGGGGAGGGAGTTCAGGGGTTAAAAGCCATGGGTCGGGGCTGAAGTTCTAGGCAGCTGGCGGCTGACACTCCTGGCGGGCCCCTCACTCAGGTAGGGTCTGCCTGGGGCGGGGGCGGGGAGCGGAGGAGGGCAGGAAGGGGAGAGAGGAGGGGATAGAAGGGATGGGGAAAGCAGAAGGGCAGCTGAGTCAGGGAGAGGGAGAGTGAAGCTAGAGTCTCAGATCTAGAGAGAAACCTGCAGAGACGGAGAGAGGCGAAGGGAGCGGAGAGATAAGAACTTGGGCTAATACCAAGCGTGGGGACAGACCCAGAGGGGTAGAATGGAAGGATGACTCTGGGGGAAAAGGGCGAGAGTGCACGGACTACCCAGCTCGCCAGAGGGCAGGGGGGAAGGGACGGCTTCCCGGGGTGAGGGGCTGCACGCCGGAGCCCCAGGGGGTTGCACACTGCTCCTCCCACCTCGCTACTGCACCCCTTCCAAGGATGGAATTGGGGGTGGGGGGCAGATTCCAGGGTCAGAGTTGTCAAGAGTGAATGAGGGGAGGAGAGATTTAGGAGCCGAGAGGTTTCAGACGCGGAGGTTCCAGGCACGCCCTCGACACCCCCTTCACCTTCTCCTCAGGCCCCGCCCACCCTGCCCTCCCGATCCCAGAGCCATGTGGCCCCTGGCCCTAGTGATCGCCTCCCTGACCGTGGCTTTGTCAGGAGGTAAGAATGCGCGGGGGTGGAGGCGCGGCGGCCACTCGGGACAATGGTAGGAGGGGTCAGGCCGAAGGGGGAGGGGGCGTGGAAGCCGCAAGCTCCTCCCCCCACCCACTCGGACTCGGGTCCCGTGGGGACAGCCCAGAGCTCTTCCTGCCTGTCCCTGGGTGACCTGGTTTCCCGGCTGAGGTCGGCCCTCTGACCCCAGACCCCTCACCTCCCAAAATACCCTCTCAGCAGCCTCTTCCCCCGTTCAAGGCTTCCTGTACTCTCTGGAAAGCTGAAGGACACGGGTTCGTGTCCTGACGCTGCCGCTTTGAACCAGTAGCCTAGCAGCTGCTTTGTGCCTAAATTGTCTTCATCTGGAAAATGGGTTCAATCTATAAGTGCTTACCGCAGAAGGTCACTGTGAATATTGAAACGAGGTAATGCGTCGAATATACAATATGTCGCAGATAGAAGGGACTTGAAAGTTAGTCACTTAGCCGTTATTACTTTATTAGTAGTAGTCTTTTTTCTTTTCTTTTCTTTTTTCTTTTTCTTTTTCTTTTTTTTTTTTTTTTTTTTTTTTTGAGACAGAACGTTGCTCTATCGCCCAGGCTGGAATGCAGTAGCACGATCTCGGCTTACTGAAACCTCCACCTCCCGGGTTGAAGCGATTCTCCTGCCTCAGCTTCCCGAGTAGCTGGATTACAGGCGCCCGCCACCATGCCCAACTAATTTTTGCATTTTCAGCCGAGACGGGGTTTCTCCCTGTTGGTTAGGCTGGTCTTGAACTTCTGACCTCAAGTGGCCTGCCTCAGCCTCCCAAAGTGCTGGGATTACAGGCATGTGCCACCGAGCCCGGCCTCTAGTATTCTGTCTTCATACTCAGTCCCTTCCAGAACCTTCCAGATTGTTCTTCTTTTCATCCTTGGGTTGACCCCAAACCTATGTGAGTTTGCCGCAAATTGGTAGTCCTTAAGATCCCTATGGATCTTTCCCATCTTTCCCTGCCATTGTAAGCAGTTTCTCTGGAAACCCCATTCATGCATAATTTAGTCATTCAACAAACAGCTATTAAACACCGGCCACTGTGCTGGGTGCTGTACAAGCAGAGACACAGTCCCTGCTCTCAGCACCTGGAGTCTAGCGGGGACAGACGCAGATGTTATTCAAACAATTATCCAAATAATTAGTTAATAATTATCTTGACATGAGGTGAAGACTTCAAGGAGCCAAGCCAGGGGCCTAGAGATGTAATGGCGGCTCCCCGACCAGAGGCCTTCCCAAAGGGCTTGACCCTTGAGCCAAGACCTGAAAAAGGAGGGGTCTGTGGGTGCCTGGCACCTGGCACCATCTTTGGCCTGAAGGTGGGGTGGCTTCTCTCCTCTGGCGACACTCCCTGGATTCATGCCCGTGCCTCTCCTGAGTGCCACACCCTAGGCTAGGAGATCCACATGCTATGCCTTGTGGAGTCCTCAACAACCTGGTGAGGTAGGTGCACTGTAATTACTCCAATTTCACGGCAGTGAAACCTAGGACTGAAGACAGAAGGCTCCTGCTCCAATGACACCAGCAATGCCTGAGTCAGAATCCTAATCCAGGTTGTCCGCCCTGTCCTCCATATCCTGGACTTGAGGCTCTGAAAACCATTTGTATAACTTTTGACCTAATCATTTGCTTAAAGTTAGCTTTTTTTTTTTTTACTCAAACAAAAGTGTGTTCAAGTTTATATTACTGTCCTGAAGAGAGAACAGAATTCTTTGTCATAAATAAAAGGTGAGGAAGGAAATAAATCCTGCACAATGAAAAGAAAATAATATGTTTATTGGGTTGGACCACCTGAAATTGCTGATACTTGACCATTTTTGATCTTCCTAAAACAGCTTTTGCAGATGTTTCAACATGATAAATGTTAGGTGGCCTGATGAGGCTTCTGTGTCCTCTTGGCTTTAAAAAGTGAGCTCAGTGAGGATTAGGAAGGTGTTAAAACTGTATTAGCACCACCTGAGACTTTATCCTTGACAAAATCGGGATTAAAAGAGAACTGGATGCTGACTCAGCGTCTGAGTGTGCGATTTAATGTTACTTATATCTCATCTCTCTACCACCTAAAATGATTCCGTGCTCACCAATAACTTCTGTCCCTAACTGAAAACCACTGGGCTAATCCCACTGCTTGCCCTGTAGTTGGGGAAGCTAGATAGGGAGGCGGAGGGACCTCCTGCTGTAGCCAATAATTAATAATAACATTGCCCACTGACTGAGCGTTCTCTGTGCTACCTGCTGTGCTGTATAGTTTGAAATGCAGGATCATCTTGAATTCTTCAACTGTGCAATGAGAGATGAACTGTTTCTTTTTCTACTTGACAGCTGGGGAAACTGAGGCGGGTAATTTGCACAATGTCACAGAGTCACAAAATGGCATGCATGTTCAGAATTGGATTCTCCCTGTCCCATGGACCCCTGCTGTGCTTCCAATACCAGACACAGTGCCTGGCACACACAGCATTTTTCGTTGAGCCCCCACTGTGTGCCAGGCACTGTGTTAGGTCCTGGGAATATGGTAGTGAATAAAGCAGTTAAGGTGCCTGTTGTCAATGGAGCTTACAGTCCATGTGGAGAGATTTTTAAAAACGAATGTATACAAATGTGAAGAGAAATGAATAGCAATCATTGTTCTGATGAAAACCAACCAGAAGAATGTAATGGAGGATGAGTGGGGACCAGGAGAGTCAACATTAGACCAGGTGGTCAGGGAAGGCCTCTCTGAAAAGAAGACATTTACCTGACCTCTCAGAATTAAGAAGGACCCAAACATACAACCTCTAGATTCTGAGGGTCATCCAGTAGAATATTCCATATATATGAAATATCCTATATCTGTGCTGTCCAATTATCCACTAGCCACTTTAGGCTATTGAATGTTTGAGATATGGCTGGTGTGACTCAAGAACTGAATTTTTAATTTACTTTTACTTCATTTTAATTAGTTTAAATTTAAATAGCCACATGTAGCTAGTGGCTACCATATGAAACAACACAGGTCTGGAGAAAGGACTGTCCAGAGAGAGGAAATAGTAAGTATAAAATGTCACCGGCCAGGCGCGGTGGCTCAAGCCTGTAATCCCAGCACTTTGGGAGGCCGAGACGGGCGGATCACGAGGTCAGGAGATCGAGACCATCCTGGCTAACACGGTGAAACCCCGTCTCTACTAAAAAATACAAAAAAAAAGCTAACACGGCAAACCCCGTCTCTACTAAAAATACAAAAAAAAACTACAGTCAGTGAGATGGCGGCGCCTGGGTCCCAGCTACTCGGGAGGCTGAGGCAGGAGAATGGCGAACCCGGGAGGCGGAGCTTGCAGTGAGCTGAGATCCCGCCACTGCACTCCCGCCTGGGCGACAGAGCAAGACTCCGCCTCAAAAAAAAAAAAAAAAAAAAAAAAAAAAAAAAAAAAAAAAAATGTCTAGTATGGGGGCATCCAAGATGATTTAAATTCTTTTTTTCTTTAAATGCCTGGTGTGTTTGAAGAACTGGTCCATGAGGCTGGACCAGAGGAAGTCAGGAGAAAGAGGTTGGAGATGGGGTCAAAGATGCTGGCAAGGGCCAGACAGCAAAGAGTCCTGCACACCTTGGGAAGGCTTTTTGGATTTATTTTAAAGGAAGTCAAGCCTGGGAACAACATCTGACTTTCTTTGTTTGAAGAGTCCTCAGCCTGCTTTGAGAAGACTGGATTGGAGGGATGTAAAAGTGGAAGGATTTAGGTTGATGTAGTCATTTGGGCTAGAGAAGATGGGGCATGGACCAAGATGGTGGCAGAAGTGTGGAGATAACTGGATATTTGGGAGATAAAACCAATAGGAATTGGCTGTGAGTGATGAAGGAAAGAGGAGAAGCAAAGATGACTCCCAGTTTTGGAGCTGAGCACTGAGGTGGGAAATACTGGAGGGAACAGTTTTGATTGAGAAGGATCAAACTGGGAATACAAAGCTTAAGATGCCTGTAAAGCATTCAAATCAACAGTGTTTGAGATTTGAGCTTAAAGAAGAGTTCAGGGCTGGAGATGGTTAGCCTGTATCTGGTATTTAAAGCCATGGAGGCAACCAGTATATATGCAGTGAAAGCATAGAGAGGTAGGTGGAAAGATGGTTGGATGGATGCATGGATGGATATATGGATGGATGGATGGATGGATGGTTGGATTGGATGGATGGATGGATGGATGGATGGATGGATGGATGGACAGATGGATGGACAGATGGATGAATAAATGGACCAGTGGATGGAGGGACAGATGAGTTGATGGATGGATAAATGGATGAGTGGGTAGATGGATGCATGGATGGATGAATGGATAAATGGATGAGTGGATGGATGGATGAGTGGATGGATGGATGGATGGATGGATGGATGGATGGATGAATTGGTGGATAAATGAATGAGTGGATGGATGGATGGATGGATGGATGGATGGATGGATGGATGGTTAGATGACTACCTAAATGGATGAATGGATAGATGGATGAGTAGATGGATGGACAAATCAATAGGATGAATTGGGGACGGATGATTGGATAGCTTGATGGATGGATATTGCCTAGGTGGATGTGTAAGTCAGTCTCACTTCTACCTCCTGAAATCCATCCTCTGGTAGAATGATATAAAAAATGCATGTGGAGAGAAAGTCAATCTCCTGCTTACCTATCAGTAACATCCTCATTTTGTGAACTCTTCTGTTAACCCCCAGTGGGGTTAACAGATTTGGTACTTATTTGGAAAAGAATGTCACCTCCTTGCCCTAACTCATCTCCACTTGGTCAAGAATAGCAACTGCCAGAGGTCGGCAAATTCGTCTTCAGTTCCTGGTTACCCAGGGCAATAGTCTGACCCTTTCCCTAAGCCCAGGAACCACAACTCCAGGGCTCCTCTGCACCCTGGATCCCAGTTTTCAAACAGTCTCTCTTCTTTACCAGGTATCTCCCAGGAGTCTTCCAAGGTTCTCAACACCAATGGGACCAGTGGGTTTCTCCCAGGTGGCTACACCTGCTTTCCCCACTCTCAGCCCTGGCAGGCAGCCCTACTAGTGCGAGGGCGGCTACTCTGTGGGGGAGTCCTGGTCCACCCCAAATGGGTCCTCACTGCCGCACACTGTCTGAAGGAGTATGTAGGGGCCAGGGGACCATGGGGTAGGGATGAGAATGGGACTGGGATTATGGATGGGATGGAGTTGGATTTAAGGATGGAGTTGGAGTTAGGGTTGGGGATGGATATGGGGGTGAGAATGAGGTTTGGGGTTGAGATATGGGGATTGGGTATGGGAATAGAATCAAAGTAGAGGATTTGGATGGGATTGAAGTTGAGGATGGGGGAGATATGTTTGGAGATGAAGAAGGTAGGATGGAAAAGAGGTTAGGTTGGGGATGGGAAGAGGTTGGGGCTGGGATGGGGATGGAAATGAGCTCCTCTTCTTTTCTAACCACCCTCTTCCTGCACCCACAGGGGGCTCAAAGTTTACCTAGGCAAGCATGCCCTAGGGCGTGTGGAAGCTGGTGAGCAGGTGAGGGAAGTTGTCTACTCTATCCCCCACCCTGAATACCGGAGAAGCCCCACCCACCTGAACCACGACCATGACATCATGCTTCTGGAGCTGCAGTCCCCGGTCCAGCTCACAGGCTACATCCAAACCCTGTCCCTTTCCCACAACAACCGCCTAACCCCTGGCACCACCTGTCGGGTGTCTGGCTGGGGCACCACCACCAGCCCCCAGGGTATGCACCCACACAGGTGGCCTGAGGCCCCACAGGAGTGGCTGGGGAAACAGGGGCGAGATGGGAGGGAAGGTCTGAGGTAGATTCTTTTATATATAAAAATATAAATTAGTAAATAAACATATTTACTATTTATATAATAATTTATATACAGTTATAATTATATACAGTTAGCTGTATCCTTTATATAAATGTATATAAATTCATGAATATATAAAAATATAAATAGATCTAATAGATATGAATATATTATATGATGTATATTATGTATTATATAGCAATATATTTATATATTATACAAAAATTATACAAATTAAATGTATTTTATAAATTATAAAATTTGTCAATTATGTATTTTAAATATGTATTTCTCCATAGTGTATATATTATAACTATATCATCTATATTTAAATTATATATTATAAATGTATTTTATAAATTTTGTATATATAAAAATGTATTTTATATATTTATATACTGTAGATTAATTTTATCATTTATAATATATAAATCATACATTTATATATTATAAATGTATAAATTTAAATATAAATATATAAATATAAATTTTTTATATTTCTATAATTTATAAAATGTTTAATATGTTAAATATGCTTATTAAATTTCTAATAATTCAATTTAATAATTATATATCATTACTTATTAAGTATAGTACATTGTATATGTGAATATAAAGTTGATGTATATACCAACAAGAGCCCTTTGCATCTCCTTAGCAATCCCTGACTCTCTCCCAGACTCATGTTTGTATCTTTCTCCTCAACATGACTCGTCTCTCTTCCTACCATTCTATCCAACTCTTCCATAACTCTTCCCATCCCTGTTCCTGCCTTTCCCATCTTTAGTTCTCTATTTCTGACCATCTCCCTATTCCAACTCCCTCTCTCTAACTTTCTGTCCCCACCACTGGCTCCACCACTCTCCTTATCAACCTCTCATTCTCTTGTCCTTTCTCTCCCTGTCCTTCCTTCCACTTTTCTCCTCATCTCTCCCTTTGCCTCTCTGCCATGTCCCTCCATATTTCTGTCACTTCCATTGCTTTACCCAGATAGGTGCTCATCTCTTCTCCCATCTTTCTCTTCCCATCTCAATTTTCTACCTACTCTTTACCCATTCAACTCGCATATTTAACCTTCATCCCACATCCTATCCAGGTCGGATACCTTAGACCTTCTCTTTCTTCTCCCCAGTGAATTACCCCAAAACTCTACAATGTGCCAACATCCAACTTCGCTCAGATGAGGAGTGTCGCCAAGTCTACCCAGGAAAGATCACTGACAACATGTTGTGTGCCGGCACCAAAGAGGGTGGCAAAGACTCCTGTGAGGTGAGGCCAGGAGGCTGGTGGGTGCCTAGGACAGGATAGAAAGCCAGAATGGAAGTGACAGATGCTGGGGGAAAAGCTTTGTTTCCAGCATTAGGGGAATCAATCTTTATAAGGTACAATGCTCCCTCACATAGGAGATCAAGACAAAAACAGGCACCCAGGGGTGGCAGGAATAATTCATCATAAGCCCCAGCTTTGACTGAGTGGCTACCCAGATCCCTGTGTTGAGATGCATAAAAGTTGGTATTCTTTCCATTGTGAGTGACAGACAACCAAGTCAAACTGGCTTAAACAAAATGCTGGCTTTTGTAACTGAAAATCCAGGGTGTCTGACTTTAGGCACAGATGGATCCAGGTATGCAAATTGTGTGTTTGGAATTCTGTCTTTCTTTTAACTCTCAGCTCTTCTTTTTTCTCTTTTGGCTTCATTCTCAGTTAGATTCTTCCCATGACAAGACGGCCCCAGCAGCTTTGAGCTTACATCCTACCCCCTAGGCAACCCTATTAGAAAGAGAATCTCTCTTTTCCAATAGTTCACATAAAAGTTTTGAGCATGATTCTCACTAGGCTGACCTAAGTCATGTGTCCTGAGCCATAAGTCCATGAGAGCTGTGGGATTCTCTGATGGGCCAAGCCTGAGTCACATAGTTAACTGTGGGTGCTGGAGAGGGGCAGGGACAAACGGCATGGACTGGGAGTGGAGAAGGGCAGTTCCCCAAATGAAAAAATCAGGAGTGGCTGTTACCAAAATAAGGGGAAATGGCCAAGTACAGTAGTTCATGCCTGTGATCCCAGCACTTTGGGAGGCTGAGGTGGGAGGATTACTTGAGCCCAGGAGTTTGAGACCAGCCTGGGCAACATAGTGAGACTCTGTCTCTACAAAAAAGAAAAAAAATTTTTTTAATTAGCCAGGTGTAGTGGTATACACCTGTAGTCCTAGCTACTTGGGAGGCTGAGGCAGAAGGACTACTTGAACCCAGGAGCTCGAGGCTGCAGTGAGGTAAGATCATGCCACTGCACTCCAGCCTAGGTGATCAAGCAAGCCCCTGTCTCAAAAACAAAAAGAAATAAATAGAGCAAGACACTGTCTCTAATAAATAAATAAATAAAAAGTTAAAAATGAATGTTTAATTTTTTTTAAATAAGAGGAAATGGATACTACATGAGCAAAAAAAAACAAAAACAAAAACCAAAAAAAACACCTGCATCCAATAAAGAGGTTGAGATTTGATTCAGTGAGAAAGAGTATGATACTATATTAATGATATGTGCCTTGATCAGTTAGTGATGTCTGCCTTGGGCTCAGGAAGAGAAATAGATGTACATGTGTATTGCATACCCTGCCCAGATGTAGATGGGTTCACTCAATAGTGAGAGGCACAAAGGGGTCTTAAAGTAGGAGCAGGGTCAGCTGGTGTGGGGCAGGGGGTGCAAGGTGGGATTTAGTACCAGGGAAACAAAAATGGGTATGAAGTAAGTTGTTACCATTTTAATGAAACTGGAACAGAGAAAGACAAAGAAATTTCTCTGTGTCTCTCTTTCTCTGGGCCTATCTCTGTCTTTCTGTCCCTATCTCTGTCTCTTGCTGTCTGTCCCTCTGTGTTTCTCTTCTTGTCTGTTTCTGTCTTCATTGCTTTCTCTCACACTGTGTGTGTCTGACTCTGCCTCTCTGAGTCTCCTTCTCTGTGTGTGTGTCTCTCCATCTTTCACCCTCTCCCCACATCTCCCTGTCTCTGCCTTGTTTAGCCCCAGCAAGGACCCACCTCTCTCTCTCTCTCTTTCTTTCCCCAACTCAGGGTGACTCTGGGGGCCCCCTGGTCTGTAACAGAACACTGTATGGCATCATCTCCTGGGGAGACTTCCCATGTGGGCAGCCTGACCGGCCTGGTGTCTACACCCGTGTCTCAAGATACGTCCTGTGGATCCGTGAAACAATCCGAAAATATGAAACCCAGCAGCAAAAATGGTTGAAGGGCCCACAATAAAAGTTGTGAAATATACTGGCTTCCATCCTTTCACCATGAATTCCTCATATTGTCTGCTTAGCCCTTCTCTGCTCCTTATTCCCAGTGTTCATTTGAACCAGTGATCCATGTCCTGAAAAATGTTCAATCCCAGTTGACATTCCATGTTTCAGAAGCATTCAGGCACTGCCAGGCTTGCAGTCTCCCAGATGTTGCATCCCAGAAACATCTCAACAACCTGAATGTCCCAACCCAGACAATGGCCCAGGTCTCTCAACTGCATCAGCATGGCTTCTATGAGCCCACATCACCACCTGAATGTTCTGTCTGTGGCACATTCTTAAATATTTCTGTGAGCCCATCTCAACAATATATGTCCTATAAATGGACCATCCTTGACAACATCCTCTAACTCTTCAAGTATTTATTCAATGCCAGTATCCTAGACCTTCTATTTTTTGCACTCAAGAAGGCTCTAGACTCCCATGATAGTTCATCCTGAAAATATTATCTTATGCCCACAATCTTCTGCCCTGACAACATTCTATGTACCTCTGTGACTCACCACAGCTAACATTGGATCCTCAGAATGGTTCATTCTCACACTGTTATGGTTGTCTCAGATGTCCCAACCCAACCTACATCCCACATTCTTCCAATACTCCACCTCTGCCAACATTCCCTCTCTCTGAATCAATGGCACCCTAAGTCTCTAGAGTTATGGGGTTCAATATGCCAAAGGGTCTCCTTGCCTGAGCTATATTGTCTACCAAATATTCTGTCCTGTATCCCCGCCATGAACTTCCTTGTTCAGTGTCCCTTGCTGTTACATCTTTGTCCACGACCCTAAAATGTAGTGCAAATCCTTGCTTTGGACAAGTTATAAAACTCACAGTCTCTGTGCTTTCTCATCTATAAAATGGGTTCATGATTTTTGGTAATTGTAGCATTATTACAAGGATAAATGTCAAGCATTTATCATCATTATTATTTGCATGATTCCCATAAAATATTACCTTAGAATGTTAATAACAGCCCTTTGAATTTGCAAAATGTCCAAAAAAGGTGTTGCACTCATTTATTTTCCTCAGGAGACATTTATTCAGTGTTGACTATGTGCAAGCATTCTCCTGGGTGTTGGTAAATATGGTTTATTTATTCAACAAACATTTGTACCTATCATGAGCCAGGCACTGTTGCAGACACAAGTGATAACCAATGAGTCAAACAGATAAAAATTTCTGCCCTTGTAGAACTTACATTCTTTTCAGGAAGTCTCCATAACAAAAATGAATAAAGAAATAGGCTGTCAGGTGGTGCCACAAGCCATGGCAAGAAATGAAACAAGGGCCATGTGTGGTGGCTCATGCCTGTAATGCCAACACTGGGAGGCCAAGGTGGGAGGATCGCTTGACACCAGGAGTTCAAGACCAGCCTGGACAACATAGCAAGATCCCATCTCTACAAGAAAGTTTAAAAAATTAGCTGGACATGGTGGCACGAGTCTGTAGTCCCAGCTATTCAGAAGGCTGAGGCAGGAGGATTGCATGAGCCCAGGAGTTTGAGGTTGCAGTGAGCTGTGATTGTGCCACTACACTCAAGCCTGGATGACAGAGCAAGACCCTGTCAAGAAGAAGGAGAAGGAGAGAAACAGGAAGAGGAAGAGGAAGAGGAGGAAGAAGAAGAAGAGGAGGAGGAGGAAGAGGAAGAGGAGGAAGAGGAAGAAGAAGAAGAAGAAGAAGAAGAAGAAGAAGAAGAAGAAGAAGAAGAAGAAGAAGAAGAACAACAACAACAACAACAAGAAGAAGAACAAGAAGAAGAACAAGAAGAAGAACAAGAAGAAGAACAAGAAGAACAAGAAGAAGAACAAGAAGAGGAGAAGAAGAAAGGATTAAGAACTGGGAATGTAGGGTTGTATATGTGGAAGGGATGGCATTACAATTTAAACAGCATGGCCAGGGAAGAGGACCTAACTGAGATGGTAACATTTAAAGAAAGACCGAAAGGAAGAAGGGAAGAAGCAAAGCACATATCTGAGGAGCAGCCGCTGCAGCAGGGGATACAGCTGTGCAAAGGCCCTGAGGCAGGAGCCTGTTTGGTGTGTCTGAAGATCAGTGAAGAGGTTGGTGTGGCTGGAGCTGAGTGAGCAAGGAGGAGAGGGTGGGAGGTGAGGGCAGAGAATGAACGGAGCAGACTGCATTGGGTCCTGTGGGGCACAAGGAAGACTTTGTTTTCCTCTGAGGGAGCCAGGAGGTATGAGAGGGCTCTGAGCAGAGGAGGCACTTTATTTGATTTGAATGTGCACAGGATTCCTCTGGCTCCTCCATGGGGAACAGACTCAGGGAGGCCAGAGAGAAAGGGACTACATCAGCCCAGGCAAAAGGTGATGGTTCCTGGACCAAGGTGATGGCCTTAGAGAAGGCGAGAGATCAGATTCTGGATCTGTTTGATGGGACTGTTGGACCATATCTGCTGACATCAGATGGGGAAGTGTGAGAAAAAGAGAAGTCAAAGATGACTCCAGAGATTTGGCCTGAGCAACAGGAAGGATCGAGCTTTCATTTACAAAAATGTAACAAACTGAGAGGAACATGTTTTAGGGCAGAGATTAGGACAATTTTGTCTTGAACTGTTTATTAGACACTCAAGTGGAAATAAACTGTTCTCTGAGAATTTGTAGAAAATAAACAACTACGGCCGGGCACGGAGGCTCACACCTGTAATCCCAGCACTTTGGGAAGCTGAGGCAGGCGGATCACTTGAGGTCAGGAGTTCAAGACCAGCCTGGCCAACATGGTGAAACCCCGTCTCTACCAAAAATACAAAAATTAGCTGGTGGTGGCAGGCGCCTGTAATCCCAGCGACTCAGAGGCTGAAGCAGGAGAATCACTTGAACCCGGGAGGCGGAGGCTGCAGTAAGCCAAGATTGCGCCACTGCATTCTAGCCTGGGCGACAAAGTGAAACCCTGTCTCAAAAAGAAAGAAACAACTACACAAACTAAATAATTGCAGATTGTGACGATTTATGTGTGATGATAATAACAAATGCAAACATTTCCATGAAGGATACAAGCAAGGATTTGTGTTAGAGAATCACGAAGGAGGCTGTTTTGAATAGGGTGATCAAGAAGGGCTTCTTGGAGGAAGTGGCATGTGGCCAAAGGGTTAAAGGGAGCCAGTTTAGCAAAGAATGGGGGAAATACCTCTGAGAAAAGGAGCCACTGGGCCAAAGTCCTTGAGTTTAGCCTATTCCAGGATCTGAGGGAAAGCCAGCATGACTGTACAGTAATGATGAAGGAGTGATTGGGTAGGGAATGAGATTGGAGGATTCTGCCGGAGCCAAATATGTGGAATCTTTTCAGCTGTCGTCAGGGAGGTGGTCTTTCTCCCTTTGCAGTGGGGGAGCTCCTGGAGAGTGTCAACAGGGGAGGAATCATATCTGAAATCGGATTATCACTCTGATTGCTGGGTTACTGGTAGAGACAAGGTGCCAGGAGGGAATACTGGAAGCCAAGAGATGAACCTGAAGCTGCCTGCAGTAATCAGTGGATAAGATGATGGCTCAGCCAACAGAGATGAAGATGGATTAGAATGAGAGTTTTGCAGTCACATTGAGGAAACTTAGCATACAGTCCATCCTATTTCTCACAGTAGTTACGTTCTACAAAGTCACCTCTAACACTGAATTAGCAACTACTAAAGCATTGCTTCTAGGGGGAAACATAGGGTTTAAGTTCCTTCAAGCCTCTGGTCACAATGCTTTTGTCACCTGATCAATATATAACCTTGTTTTAGGTGTGTTTCTCTTTAAAGACAACTTAATATATATGCATTGAACTCACAGCCGATGGTGATATAACTCATGCCTGAATGAAGCTTCTCTAATGTGTATTTTCTTTTTAAATTTTTCAAAATTTATTTTACTCATTTTATTTTCTTGAGACAGGATCTTGCTCTGTTGCCCAGGCTGGAGTATAGTGGTGCAATCGTAGCTCAGTGCAGCTTTGAACTCCTAGGCTCAAGTGATCCTCCCACCTCAGCCTCCTGAGTTGCTGGGACTACAAGCATGCACCACCATGCCCAGCTAATTTTTTTTTTTTTTTTTGAGATGGAGTCTCGCCCTGTGGCCCAGGCTGGAGTGCAGTGTCCGGATCTCAGCTCACTGCAAGCTCCGCCTACCGGGTTTACACCATTCTCCTGCCTCAGCCTCCCAAGTAGCTGGGACTACAGGTGCCCGCCACCATGCCCGATTAATTTTTTGTATTTTTTTAGTAGAGACGGGGTTTCACCGTGTTAGCCAGGATGGTCTCGATCTTCTGACCTCATGATCCACCCGTCTCGGCCTCCCGAAGTGCTGGGATTACAGGCTTGAGCCACTGCGCCCAGCCAGCTAATTTTTTTTTTTTTTTTTAATTTTTGTAGAGATGGGGTCTCACTTTCCTGCCCAGACTGGTCTCAAACTCCTGGACTCAAGTGATCCCCCCACCTTGGCCTCCCAGTGTATTGGGATTGTAGGTATGAGCCACCACACCTAGCCTTGTGTATTTTCCTATAAGGCACACCACAGCCTTCTTGCACTTAGGACGCTAGATGGGACATTTTAAACAGCGAAATCAATGAAAACGTGCAAAACGTGGCACTAAGTAGACCACAGAAAGGATGCTTGTTTACAGAATGAGAGCTGAAATAAGGGAGAGCATCGCCTTAATCGACCTCACCTGGGAGGGCGCACCTCAGGCAACTCAAATTGTTCACCACTCTGTGCATATTTGTAAACAGCTGCAAAAGTCCCAAGATATTGGTTTGGGGTTACCCACAGATTTCATCAAGCAGGTAAATTTGAAAATACACATTCCATGAATAATGAAGATCAACTGTGTCCGTAGGGGTGAGGGCGAGTGTTGAGGATGATTCCTGCATGATTCCTGTGTTTTTCAGGGGAGACTATAGTTTAGTGTTCAAGCACACAAAGGGTGGAGTCTGAAAGATCTGGTTTTGCCACTTTATCTCTTGGGAACTTCAGTTCCTTAATCTGGTAATAACAGGCCCTACTGCTCAGGGCTGTTGGGAGGACAGAGTGAAAGATAGGTATTTAAAGCCTCTGCACACAGCAGCTTCTGAATCACCGATCCTCGTCAATGGAGAACCAGCATGACACAGTAGCTATGGAACACAGTTTCGGGGGCCAGGCTGCCTGGGTTTGAATGCTAGTTCTGTCACATGTTGAACTGTATACTCTCCAAGTTACTCACCTTCTGTGTGCCTCAGTTTTCCCATTACTCAAGTACATATAACAATGGCGCTTAACACCAAATGGCTTTAAGACCTCAAAGCAAAAGGTCAAACTACAAAGTTAATAGAAGATAATGGCAGAGGCCGGGCGCCATGGCTCATGCTTGTAATCCCAGCACTTTGGGAGGCCGAGGCGGGCAGATCACGAGGTCAGGAGATTGAGACCATCCTGGCTAACATGGTGAAACCCCATCTCTACTAAAAATACAAAAAATTAGCCCGGCACGGTGGCGGGCGCCTGTAGTCCCAGCTACTCTGGAGGCTGAGGCAGGAGAATGGTGTGAACCTGGGAGGTGGGGCTTGCAATGAGCGAAGATCGCGCCACTGCACTCCAGCCTGGGGGACAGAGCGAGACTCCGTCAAAAAAAAAAAAAAAAAGAGATAATGGCAGATAACATTTTTGTGATTTGGGGATGAGGAAGGACTTTTCTTCCTCCTCCTCCTCCTCCTCTTTGTCTTCTTCTTCTTTTTTTCTTTTTTTTTTTTTCTTTTGAGACAGGGTCTCACTCTATCGCCCAGGCTGGAGTACGGTGATGCAATCATAGCTCACTGCAGCCTCAACTTCCTGGGCTCAAGCAATCCTCCCATCTCTCAGCCTGCCAAGTAGCTGGGACTACAGGTGCATGCCACCACGCCCACCTAATTTTTGTATTTTTTGTAGAGACAGAGTCTCACCATGTTGCCCAGTC